ATCTAAAATGTTTCAATTCAGTATATATATATATATATAAACTTATAAACTTTACAACTATCATAAAAAAAAAAATACACACGAATCTCTCAAAGAGTACTTTACTCGTAACAACATAATCCATGTGCATGGCCCCCAACACACCCTTGCACCCCACTTTCTATTTTATATATACTCATTTCTTTTACATTTTAATACAATTATTTTTCAACCTTTAATATTAACATTACTACTAAAAATCAATAAAATAAATTAACTAACGACTGATTTTGGTGACAAAAAAGTTACTTTTATCTCACTAATTACTTTTACATAGTATTTTTTATCCCGTCATTTAATTACATACTATTGTGTGTTGATTATGATAATACATATGTTACAAGTCACTCCCAAGTTAATTTTGATCCGTTAACAGTTTATATATATTGATGGTATATATCTATTAAAGTCTTAATAATAATCATCTTAAAAATCACATATGTGACAAGGTTAATTTCTAATTAGTTGCAGTGTAAACTACAATGAGATTTAACTCGATTGGTTGAGCATGTATATGAATTATTGTAACTCTTTAGTAATAATTACCCTAAAAATTATATGAACCAAATTTATTTCCTAATTGATTGACAATATAAAATATTAACTAGTTAATGAAATTTAACCCGATTGATTAAACAGTGTATATGAACTATAATTTTTTATACTAAGTTTGATTCTTATAGATAAAAAAAAATGAAAAATATTTTACATTGAAAATGCATACATCCATTAATAGGCTCCCTATCTAATATTGCAGTTTCTGCCATCTAACTCCATAAGTTGGGATGCAAAGTTTATGTTCAAAGTTGTTTCCTGAGTGCTGAGCACAACTATTCCATAAGGTTGTGTTGGAAAGAAAGTAGCAAAAAGGGTAGAGATGTTTCCAAAGTGAAAGGAACGAAGAAGAGCTAAATTGAGTAGAATAATGATGTGAGATTGAAACGATAGGAGATGTGGGAGCAACCACATCTAGCACATGGCTAGCTTTCATCATGAAGATATGAAATTGCAAGAGTAAAGATGAAGCAGTGGGAGAAGTGTTAATGTTCAATTATAAAGTCGTTGAAGAAAGAAGGGGGTTTCATAGAAAAGGTGATGGCACGGACTGTAAAAGTTAGAGGCCATTATATACAAAAATATGAAAAGGAAAGATAGCCACAGCATATGATCTTCCACATTGCCATAGTGGGGAGAAGCAGCCACAACATTAATATGGACCACAGTAATAAAAGCAATTTGAATTTCTTAAACATGTGGATAGAGTTTGATTTTTCACCAGAAACTGTTAGAAGAGAAATCATATTTTTTAGTCCACAAAAAAAAAACAATTCGTTTCTTACTAGATATAAATTTCATAATTTTTTTGATGAATTGTATATATAGAGATGAGAGATTCATTTACTCTCAAAGTAAGTTTAGGTAGACTTACTTCATTCAATAAATCATGTCCTATATTAAATTTTAGTGATTCAACTGTTAAATTTAAAGTTATTAATATATAGATTAAGTTTATAAATTTTTAAAAAAATTTAAAAATTATTTGATATTTCGTTTTATTAATTTAAATTGATGGATAATCATAAAAATATTTTATTCATCAACATTATTTAAAGAGCATGACTAGATGATGAAAAAATTAACACTTTCTCTTTTCTTATTATTCTTTTACCTTTCTTCTTTATTAGGTTAAATTATTTATTTTTATCCGTAAGAAAAAAAATTAAACCTAATGAAAAAATTATTGAATTTATAAATAACAGCTAACAAAATTTTACTGTTCACATTAATATCAACTCTAAGAGGTTACATTGGTATATCCTCACTTTTTATGATTTCAGATAGCAATAATTTCGACATAATTAGTAACATTTTGTGGTTTTCTTAACTAAATTATTTAAAGTTTGAATCATTACTTTAATGAAATAAATTATAAATTGAAAGGAAAATATCACTTTATATTCCATTATAGTTTTTTATTAGAGTTTAATTATTATTTCTGATGATAAATACTTCATGAAAAAAAAAAACTCTCTTATATACAAATAATTGAGAATATAAATATATATTGCATAGAAAAGTAGACACATACTTTTATTAAAAATGAATTACACTAATCAAATAACATAGTTTTAACGATTTTAAAAAAAAATCTCATTTTTCAAATAATTTACTCTTATGCTATTACCTATGATTCAATTTACACTTCAATATACAAGGCTACGTAGTAAATTGAAGAAAAGATGTACACACAAATGAATTTACACAATTTTATTTCTTATAACATCTTCTAAATTTTATTTTTCTTTCTATTTTGGTCATTGATTCTCCTCACATCTCCTATATTACATATCATATTACACCTCCTAAACAATATATTTTTTTTCCTGAATGCTTCTTAATAAAAAATAAGTTAAAGAAATATTATTTCATTATTTTAAGCAGCAAATGTATCTCGTGTTAAAATATAAATTTTGCTTTAACAAAATCTGAGGATCAATTGTGCTTTTAGAACTTTGAACATGA